TTACTTTCAAAATAGACGTGCTAGATGATAAAAAAAGAGATGCAAACGTCAAAATACTAGCCATTCATTATGGAACATCAAATAGTTTGGAGAGTTAGGTATTTTTTATGTGTTGAATAATTTTCGCTTAATTTTCTTTCTTCACTTTCTACAAAAATAAGTTTGATTATGATTTTGTAGAGAATTTAAAGGCGTATCTTTTGGAAAAACAATCAGCTCTAAAGGACAAAAAGAAGAAATGTTCTAGTTAAAATACTGAGAGGGCCATTTATTCTGCCGCACCCGTTACAATTTCTTTACGTGGGTAAATTTAGTACCAGATTCGAGTTTTTGCTATCCGGATTCGTTTGTGTACTTGAGTTAGATGCAGAATTTTACGGCGAATTCGATGATGTAAAGATCAAGAGGGATTATCGAGCAAAAACTGGCACTTGACCCCGAAATGCTGAATTTTTTGAAAAATATTCGCTATTTTACTTGAGTTTGATTCAGTATGAAATTTTGCATCAAATGATATCGATTTAGTATGGGGTCATCGAGCAAAAATTTTTCACCTTACCCAGCCACATCTCCTCATGATGACCTTTACCCGCACCCATATGAAAAATTTTTTGTCCAATGACCCCATACCAAATCGATATCATTCGATGTAGAATTTCATGGTGAATCCAACTCAAGTAAAATAGTGAATCTGAACAGCAAATATTTTTCAAAAAATTTTGAAAAATTCAGTATTTTGAGGTAAAGTGCCAGTTTTTGCTCGATGATCCCTCTTGATCTTTACACTATCGGATTCGCCGTAAAATTCTGCATCTAACTCAAATACATAAACGAATCCGGACGGCAAAAATTCGAATCTGGTGCTAACTTTACCCACGTAATTTCTTTCTTCTTAAAATCTTTTTTTTTTTCTTCAGAAGATAAGATTGTTAGCATCTTTTATTAATAATTTGTTTTCAAAGATACTTTTTTTTAATGTTCTATAGAAGAATGAAGATATGATTCATTGTCACTTACTTCTATAGAAGTATCACTTTGTTTGCTTGTTATTGAATTTGAATCGAGACTAGGAGATGCTGTTAATCGAACTTGATTAGCTTTTTGAAGACATTCTTCAATACTTGATAATTGTTGTTCAAATGATGGAAAATGAAAATCAGTTGAACGTTCACATACAGAAGCGAATTCTTTATTTATTTATAAAGAAAAATCACTTTTTTTTTTTTATCATAAAAAATAAAATTACCTTCTTTAATATCAGAAGTTGTTAAACGAATTCGTTTTGGTACAAGTAATACAAGACCACAAAGTGAACTTGAATAAAGTGACATAAGTGTTTGAAGACGTTGTGGTTCAAATAAAATTTTATTACTATTATAAATATTTAATTATTTTTTTTTTACAAACAAAAAAAAAAAGAACTTCTTTTTACTCTTTTTTCTCAGTTTTTAAACGACAATAATCAAGCATATCACAACGAATTAAACGAAGATTATACATTGATTTTAATTGTGCACCTAAAAAATATTTTTGTTGAAATATATTAAGATTAATAATAACTAACCAAGTTGTACAGTATAACTTGTTTCTAAACGACGTTCATGTAATGTTGTATCAGGTACAGCAATTACAACAGATAATGGTGATGATAGTATTGCATTAAGACGTGTATATCTAAAACAAAAAGAATCATAAGATTATCTTTTTTTGAAATAAACAAAAGAAAAACACAAAATTATCTAACATTTTATTGCTACCATTCGAACTTTGTAAACTATTCGATACTAAACTTTCTTCATGTAGTTGCATAACACGATCTTTAAATTGTTGTTTTTGACGATCTTTAACTGATGTTATAGTACTATTCCATTTGCCTTCAACGGACTAGAAAATAAGAAAAATAATCATTAGAATTCAAAACAAAAAAAAAAAAAAAAAAGAAGAGCATTTATCTCTATTGTGAGTACTTGAAAATGAATCACAGAAGTTAAAAGCGATATTTATCAAAAAAGGTAAATCAAGTGAATCTTAAATTTGAGATGATCTTTTTTTGTTGCTGTTTACGCGAGAAATTAAATAGTATATTTTTTCATAATAAAATAAATGTTTGAAAATCGTACTATGATTGTGAATGTACCAATTGCGAAAAATGGTACTCGTGCAGGACACTAGTCCAAATTTCTACCCCTGAAATTTCAACACTCGTTTTAGATCATATTTTATAAAATATTAAGCGAAATTTAAATGTTATATTAAGATTAGAGATACGCGGAATCAAATTTTTTTGATTTCGATGCTGATAAATTTTGTATCTACTGGTTTCGAGATTGATGATCTCGCATATATCTAAATAAGATATTATATTGAAGGTTGAATGAGTTTTTGAATGATTCATATGAGAATTGAATAGAAGAAAAAAAAGAACATATCGTTTCGCGATTGATTCAATTGCTCAAGGCTGTCCGTTCTCCCTTCAAAAATACAAGTCCATTTCCGTTTGATTAATCGGAAATAAAATAAATGCATGGGAAGATAACTTGAGGTCAGATCTTTTACACATACACGCATATGATGATTTTTTTATTTGACACATTATTTTTTTTTTAGAAAAAGCGGTAAATATTTTTCGTTTTGTTTTTTTTTGATTGCGTAGCTCAGAATTTTTCAGATGAACCTCATTCTATATAATTAAATTTTTCTTTTTTTAGTTGCTTGAATGAATATGTCAAAATGCAGACCTTCACAGAATCTCTCTTCTTAATTAAATTTTAATCTCATTATATATAGAAAACATTTATATCAACAGACCTCTATTTTTAGAAATTTTTTTGAGACCTTCAACTTGTCACTCATTTTTTTTTTTTTTTTTTACATAAAAATTATTAAAAAAAAAAGAGAGCACTGTGTCATGTTCTGTAGCTTGGCATACTCTTTTTAGTAGAAGAAAATTAAAGGTATAAAATGAGGATTGACAGTGAGTTTAGAGTTATCACATGAGCTACTTTTAAGAATTTCA